AAAGGAACTTATATCCAAAATATACAAAAACTACAACTTAATAGCAAAAAGCAAATAATCCAATTTTTTTTAAAAAATGGACAAAAAGGGTTTAGGGTGTTCCTGGTTTAGGATAATCGGGTTTAGGGCGTTCCGGTTTAGGGCGTTCCAGGTTTAAGGTTATTCCTGCTGGGAATAGGGCGTATCCTGCTGCCTGAGTTCCCCTTGAGTTCTCACAGGATTCAGACAGTATTTTTTGGGAGATAGAAGCCCAGTGGATGTGGATTTGGGCAGAGAACGTGGATTTCCCCAGAACGTGATTGTAGACGGCTGGTGTGAGTTCGGGAATAAAGAGTTGCTGTTTGAATCTACAAGCTGTGTGGTGGCTCGTGATTGTGTGCCCAGCCAGACTGCGGCATTTGTGCCCAGCCAGACTGCGGCAAACAGATGCTTTACAAAAGAAGATATATAAATGGTTAAAAGCACATTAAAAAATGCTTGATATCATTCATTACCAGAGAAATTTAAGTTAAAATCTTGAATGTGACACCTAAAATACAAACAAACAAAATATAGAAAACCCCCATCCATTAAAATGACCAAATTAAAAACAGACCATACAAACTTGTGATGAAGATGAGGAACAACTGAAAATCTCTTACGCTGTTGGAGGGCATATATTAGAGCAAAATTTTTTTAAAGTTTTGCTGTTTCTGAAATAGTTATATACCAACCTCTCCACACAAGATATTTATCCAAGATGCACACACAAAGACTTGTATACAAATGCCCAAAGCTTTTATTTTTATTTTTATTTTTACATCCCCAAACTGGAAATTATTCAAAAGTTCACCAACAGATGAATGGTACATCCATACAATGAAATACTACTTGGTAATAAGATGGAATGACCTATTGATATATTCAACAATGTGGATAAATCTCAAAGTCTTGTTAAAGAACCCAGACACCTCCCTTTTAAAAAGAACATGATTTGGGGCTGGGATGTGGCTCAAGTGGTAGTGTGCTCGCCTGGCATGCGTGCAGCCCGGGTTCAATCCTCAGCACCACATACAAACAACGATGTTGTGTCTGCCGAAAAAAACTAAAAAAAAATAAATATTAAAAAAAATTCTCTCTCTCTCTCTCTCTCTCTCTCTCTCTCTCTTTAAAAAAAAAAGAACATGATTATTATGATCCCTTTTATATAAATTTTCAGGAACTACTAATTAATCTACAATGAAAGAAAGTCATTGATTGTCTGGGGACTGTTGTAGAAGGAGATAATGTAGAAAACGATGGATTTAAAAAGGAATGAGGAAATTTGGGGAGACATTTAAAATGTTCATTATTTTTATTGTAGCAAGTGTATATATATGTCAAAACTTATTAAATTATTCCCTTTATAGTTGATTAATGCTAATTATATTTCAATAAAATTGTTAAAGTATATATATGCCTATATAAACATTGGGAAATACTGATAATTCCAAGAAGGAAGAAAAAAACTTTTTATGTAACTCTTATCATAAAAAGTGATTCCTACAAAGTCATTGTGGTTCAAAGATGATTTTCATTGTAACTTTCTGAATCTCCCTGTGGTCAATATTTTACTTCACTAGAATGAAATGAGTAAGACTGTAAAACAAATACTAAGGCATAATGTCTCTAACATCATTGATCTCTGTGTCATTAAAAAAAATTAGATTGTTAGTGTTCTCACAAAAAAAAAAAAAGATTAAGTATGAAAGGTGATGCATATGTTAATTAGTTTGATTTAGTCATTCCAGAATATATACATATATTAAAACTTCACATTGTACACCATAAATATAAACATTTTGTGAATGAAAATCGTAATTAATTTTTAATTTTTATTTTATTTATTTTTTATTTTTTATACTAGGGACAGAAACCAGGGTTACTTTGCCTTTGAGCTACATCCCCAGTCCTTTTTATTTTTTATTTGAGACAAGATCTCACTAAGTTGCTGAGGCTGACCTCAAACTTGTGGTCCTCCTGCTTCAGCTTCCCAAGTAGCTGAGATTACAAGCATATGCCACAGTTCCCAGCAATTAATTTTTTTAAAAGGAAAGAAAAAGAAAAGATGAAGTGTAGGTGATCCTTGGTGGAAGGGAGTGAAAGGAGAGTCCTAAAATGTCAATGAGACAGAACAAACACAGCAAAGCCTAGAAAGATGGAAAAACCAAACAATTGTGTGACTAAAGACATCAAGCTCTGGGTTAAGATCAGAGCTCAGAGAGGAAAAGACCATGGCTGGTGATTTTGAGAGAGAGTTAGAATACTTAGCTTAGAAAAGCATAGAAATTCCTCTAAGGACAATGATTCGTATAAATTTAAATGGATACTAAGCAGTGTCAAGGTAAACGCATATTAACCATGCTTGCCAGCAGGTGGCGCCAATTGTCATTGAAGATGGAAAGAAGCCAGAACAGGCCTTGGATGGACTTGTATCAGTTGTGGGTCAGAAAGCACAGAAAAGTTGGAACATATGCCAAGGATCTACAGTTCTCTCTTCTTCTTTGGTGGAAGCAGTTCAGAGTAATACTCAATAGGGGAGGTGTTTCTGTACAAGTAGCTTTCTGCATCTGTTACTTGGACCTAGTTGTCATGAATGTGGTTTTATTCTCATAATCAGATAACAAACAAGAGATAGAATACAATAAACTGGGAGGTCAGTGTTTTCAGTTCTAAGATTTGCACTCTGTTATCCCCACAAGGAGAAATCTGATAATTGTGACCATTAAAGATCACAAAGGAAAACTGGAATGCTTATTTCAGCAGAACATAGCTATGTGAAAAATTCCCCAGAGGAAAAAACTTGAGCAGCATTAAAGGGTTTTGCTAAAGATGACTGTGATAGTCAGTTTTCTTTTGCTTTGACAAAAATACCTGGGATAATCAACTTAAAAAGAGGAAAGACTTATTTTGACTCATGGTTTCAGAGGTTTCAGTCCATGGCTGTCTGTCCCCATTGCTTTGGGCCTGTGCAACACAGTACATCATGGCGGGAGTACATGGCAGAGGAGAACTATTCACCTTATGGTAGCCTAAAAGCAAAAAGAAAGATATGAAGGGACCAGACTCCCAATAACCCCTTCACGGCCATGGCCCCAGTGACCTAACTTACTTCCACTAGGCCCCATTTCCTAAAGGATCCACCATGTCTGAATAGCACCACAGGCTGGTGACCAGTGCCTTTTGGGGACACTCAGATCCAAAACATAATAGTAATCATGCAACAACAGGGTGTGGTGGAGTTTGTGTGCACTCTGATAAAACTCAACATTCAGTCAAAAATTGGTCCTGTAAATACAATCCTCAATGAGCAGAAGTTTGAATTAGAAACTAGAGAGAGTATTTCATAGAAGCTCTTGGAGAGGCAGGTCTCCCGTAAAACAAGAGGGAAATTGCTATATACTTAGGACAAAGCCTGTGTAAACCTTTTTGGCCCCTGAGAATCCTACTCAGCTAGCAAAGTGAGGTCCCAAGAATTTCAACAGCAGTAGCCACAGTGGCTTGAGAAGGTCTGGACATGCTTGGCATAAGCTCAGAAATAGGGAACACAGAGCAGAAAGAAGACTAGGATTCTGGTCCTGCAAAGGACATAAAATTTGGACTCTGGAGCTAGGGATGTAGTTCAGTGGTAGAGCACTTTTCTAGCATGTGTGAGGCCCTGGGTTCAATCCATAGCACTTTAAAAGAAAAAAATCGAATTTTTAGGACAGCAAGTCATTAAATGCCTGAGTATTTGCTGTCCTAGACAGAAACGATTCGTTCCTAAACCATTCATAGCATTTCTGAATTCCTGGCCCACTCAATGGAGTTCAAAAACAATTGGCATGCCTGCTTACTTCCAAAATACATGCCAATTAATTCCCTTCATTTTAAAAAAGACTGTATCAAATCATATGCAATCCTCCTGCCTCAGCCTTGTGAGTAGCTGGGATTAAGGAATGCACCTCCATGCCTGGCCATCAATCTTTGTTTTACTTTATTTACTCTGCCGTGCTGGGGATGGAAGTTAGGGCCTTATGCATTTAAAGCAAGCTCTCTACCACTAAGCTACCACTCAGTCCAGAGTCAACCTTTTTAAACTCTCTAGGTGTTCACTTCAGTGGCATTCTTGCCAAAAATGTACAAATGTGAAGAAACATTAGACAGTCCTAAAATGAAGGGACATTCTAAGAAATGAGTGATCTGCATCCTTCAAAACTTCAGTGCTAGCCAGGTGCAGTGGCACACACCTGGAATCCCAGTGACTTGGAAGGCTGAAGCAGGAAGTTCACAAATTCAAGGCCAGCCTCAGCAACTTAGCAAGACCCTGTCACAAAACTAAAAATAAAAAATAAAAAGGGCTGGGGATGCAGCTTACTGGTAAGGTACACCTGGTTCAATCCCTGGTGCCAAAAATAAAAATTAAAAATTAAAAAATAAATTTAAAAAATTACATTTGTGGGCTGGGGTTGTGGCTCAGAAGTAGAGTACTTGCCTAGCACGTATGAGGCACTGGGTTCAATTCTCTGCACCACATTAAAAAAAAAAGAATAAAATAAAGGTATTGTGTCTATACACAACTAAAATTGTTTTTTAAAAAAATTACATTTGGATTTTAAATGCCAAATTCTATTTAGGTTCAGAATATTGTATTCAGTCTGGCATAGTGGTGCATACCTGTAATCCCTTCTTCATGAAGCTCCACACTGTCCCCATTAGAAGGAACCTCTCTCGGGGCTCTGAACTCCAAAAGGTGAATTAGACATGGCTGTTGCCCCACAGTAGTTTACAAAGCAACCCAGAGTAAGTTCTGCAGTCTAAAGGATAAAATGCTTTGGTTGTTAAGAGATTGAAAAGGGACAAGTGGGGAGAAACAGCCCATCCAGGGATCAGCAATAGTGGAGATATGCACATGTGTAATGGAAGGAGGACCTCGAGAAGCAAACACACCACACAATGTTTATTTTAAAATAATAAATAAGTAGGCAAAGAAAATACAGGAAAGGAAATGTTCATGAAAACCAAGTCACTAAAGTGCTTTCAAACATAAAATTTAAGAAGATCAAGAAGCCTGGTCTGAACTTTGAAAACTGTTTCCAGATACTCAACAGTTGTTTAAATATGGTCCCAGCTACTTCAGAAGGTGAAGGGGAGAATGGCTTTCTTTGTTGTTTATGACTTCCAATGTGTATAGCCTACCAAATGACACTTGGAACACAGAATTATTGCCTAACATGAAAACTGAAATGTCCAACACCAAATTGAAGGAAGATACTATGTAATTCACTCATATATTTTTCTGGAGTCTTCATTATAAAGATGTCTGATTCTTCTGGAAGTTAAAAATAATTTATTCTCTAATTTAGAGTGAGGACCTATCCTATTTATCTACATAGTATCCTGAACCACATCTCAAATGATGTGCAGCAAGCAGTATATCGTCTTTTGAACTTTCAATCCTGCCTGCCCAAGTTCCACAAAACAGAATCAAACTTTTATACCAAATGAAGTGGTTCCAAGTACCTTTAAGAAATGGTTTCCATTCTAGAACAAAAAGGAATTGTCCCTAAATCATCCATTTGTCCTCTTAAAACAAGTGGTCCTGCATTTTATCCTGACTCCATTAAGAGAAAACTGAACTGAAGGTATTTGTCTTAGACCACTGTTGTCTTTTGAAAAATGCCAGTGAGAAATAAGCACACTTTCAGCCTTTGTGGGTGGGGCCTGTGGATCTCATAGGTCACCAACCTTCCCTGGCTGGAGCCCCTCTACCCCAGTGGAGTCAGAGCATCCTTGAGCACTGTCCCCCTGGTGTGTTTTCTTGGTCTCCTGTCTGGCAGAGCTGGAAAGATCAATGGCCACATCTTCCAAGCCATTCTCAAGGCTGGCTTTGTCTGAGCCTCTCTGGTGTCCTGCCTGACTATCACTAGAACCTTCCTTGAGGTGGTCAGAGCCCCAGAGTCCTGGCAATTTGTCTTCACTTCCTGGTTTCCTTATCATTCCTGTGGACTTTTTATGCATCCCTGGCAAAATAAAAATTTTTTAAAAAGTTAGTACTAAAATATTTTTTAAAATTCAGTGATTAAGTACACTTCATATCATTGTTTCATAAATTCCATTAGAATTATGTTGTTAGTAGCTCTCTGTGGGGCCAACAGGAGAGTCAAGTAGGTAATTCACTCATACTGACTCCCACCATTAGGGGTTGAAAACTGGTGTCTGCCAACTGTAACATCTGCAAAGGTGCTTTGTTCGGATGACACAGTGACTTTGCCTTTGCTTGTATAACATGGTGACTGGGCACTGAACCCCTTTTCTTGTACTGAGGATGCCAGCAAGCACCATCCCCTGCCTGCATGTGTGATTTCATATGACTGGACTTGGCTCCCTGCCCCCCAAATTCTCTCTCTAGTTTCTCTAGCCCTGAGGGCAAAATCAAGATTATATTAATTATTAGTTCTTCAGGTAGAACCTGGCAAATGGGTGTTCAGAAAGTGTTTGCTGAACAAAGAAAACAACTCTTTCACAATCTACAATACCACCATAATCCCCCTAACTAATCTGACCCCAGTTGCTCATCTTGTGATTCATTCTTCCAATCTGCTATCCGTGCCTGTTCCTCTCTCGCCACGGCAGAATACCACCCAGCCTCAAAGTTTGAACCGCTCCAGCAGAGACTATTTTAGTATGGAAAATCTAAGGAACAGAAAAGCTACATGGTAGGTTGTTAATGGCAGAAGCAGGAATAGGGACCAGAACTCCTGACTTCACTGTTGATTGTCTCTAGCTTTTCATTGCTCTGAACCCTCCCATTTCCAATTACCATGTGCCCTAAACTGTGAAAAACAAGGCAATAGTTTAGGATTGGAATTAAGTAGAAATCAGATGCAAGATTCTGACTTTTAATCTGATTGCATGTATGCTGCTTCGTTTCACAAATGTCTGTCTGACCTCATGGAAGCCCCCGCCCAGCATCTGTGCGCCTCCTGCTTACCTAGGAGCCAGGGCGCACAGGCGCCGCGAAGGCCGCCTTCTGTGGAGTTGAGCACTGAGTCCGGCAGCGGGATGCAGTGTCTCACCATCGCGCCATACAGCCCATACTCCGCCATCACACTGCTGCCGCCCCAGCGCTTCTCCCGCTTGCGCCACTTGGCCCTCCGGTTTTGAAACCAGACCTGATTGGAGAAAGGAGACAGAAGGGCATACAAGAGGAAACAGCGTGAAGAGGGGCACTTGGAGAAACGGAAGCGTGTCCCTGAACTAAAAAGAGCCAACTCTCCTCCGTAAAGCAACGCTCCTGGAACTTCTCAGGACTATGTCCACGTTCCCTCCAACCCCACAGAGATTCAGCACCGTGGGGATAACGCGTAACGCTCCCACTCGGGTTTTCCAATGAGTCAGGAAGGATAAAAAACAAAAGCGAAGTACTTTTTCCCACATTGTGTAAGCAGGTTGACTACAGCATCTTCTAAATTGTTATGATTTTCCAAATAATCATAACAATTAGAGTCCACTGGGTCAATGACCCAATCTAATCTTAGGTTGTTGTATTGCTACTGATATTTCTAATGAAAAATATTTTGTTAACAACTGGATGCTCTGGAAGTTTAACTCTTTAAAAAGCTAGTGGCAAATCTGACAAGACAAAGAACAAAATTCTCTGTGTGAGTGCACATATGTGTGCACATATATGTACATACACATGAATATTCATATATATATATATATATATATATATATATATGTATATATATATATATGACATGAGACAGCACAAGGTATAGAACAGTCACATGGGATTATACATGATTTCTTTGGGGATATAAGGTGGAGAGTGTTTAGCCATATATCTTCAGGTAGTTTCTAGTTGCAGCACACATATTTTTGAGAATGATCTAACAATAAATAAAAATAATAAGAGAAAAGGCATGAGGGTCAGAGGTAAGCTTATTGTGCCTTTAGCTAAGTGACCCTCAGGGTTGGAGCCAAGGGGACTGAGTTGGGCTATTTAGAAGTGGCTATGGGTTGGCTCACTGTGTGCAGGAGTGACATATTCTCTGGATGTCTTTGGGAAGCAGAAGGGGGAACCTCAGATACCTGAATTCGGTCTTCAGGGAGTTCAGTTTTTACAGCCAGCATTTCCCGAGCGTACACATCAGGGTAGTGGGCCTCACTGAATGCCTTCTCCAGCTCTTCCAGCTGGTGAGCGGTGAAAACTGTCCTGTGGATAAACCCAAAATATGTGTGCGGGCACATGTCCACAGGGGAAACTATGTTTTTCTGCCTTAACCCTTCCAGTCCTCACCCCAAAAGCTATCTCATACTGGGTAGTGGTGGAGCATACTTGTAATTCCAGGGACTCTGGAGGCTGAGGCAGGAGGATCACAAGTTTGAGGCCAGCCTCTGCAACTTAGTGAGACCCCAAGCAACTTAATGGAAACTTGACTCAAAAAATAAAAAGGGCTGGGAATGTAGCTTAATAATAGTTTGCCTCTGGGTTCAACCCCCAGTATCCCTCCTCACTCCTTCCCCCCAAAATTCCCCTTTATGATAACTGGACATTCCACAGCTGAATGATTAGTCTCTGGAAAATCTTTGTTCAAAGCAGAATTCTTCAGGTGTTTCTGTTTTTCTTGATTTTGTGTGTGTGTGTGTGCGTGTGTGTGTGTGTGTGTGTGTGTGTGTGTGTGCTAGTGTTTGAATCAAAGGCCTTGTGGGATTTTTTCCCCCAGTACCAGGATTGAACCTAGAGGAGCTACACCCATTCCTTTTATTTATTTATTTTTTTAACAGGTCTTGATAAGTTTGAGTTAGCCTCAAACTTGGGATCCTCTTGCCTCAGCCACCTGGGATTACAGGCATGTACCATTGCATCTGTTTTTTAAACTCTTTCTTAATGAATTCCATAAACTCTTCTGACAAGACCTATTTTACAGACCCACAAAATCATGTCTTTAAAATGATGCAAAGATGGTCCTTTGTGGCCCTCTAGGAACTGCAGAATTATCTGCAAATGGTTGCTTTAAAATGTGCCCTTTTTACTGCCAACCAGGAGGCCCCTGGGCCTGCTATAAATCAGAGCAATAAATTTTCAGATGCTGGTCCCATAGATGTTAGGGGAAAGTGGTCAGAAAGGACAGCCTGTCCCTATACCTGTGCCGCCGCTTCTTCCTCTTCCCTAGGGTGGGAGATGCCTTCGGATCACTCCTGTCTTCAGGTGGACTTTCCTCATCTGCTGGCACAATGAGAAGAGGACTCAAAAGCTGATCACATTTTTTACTTTATTTCCTAGATTTTCATGTGAGAGTTAACATATTCCTAACATATTTGTTAGGAATGTATTTAACAATATGAGCTAGAATTTTACCAATTCCCAGACTCCAGTCACTGTCACTATCCATACATTATCGCAAATATTCTTCATAAGTAGCTACTATTATGATCCTATTTTTACATATGAAGAAACAAAGGCAAAGAGATGTTAGATAATTTGCTCAAATCACATAAAAAGTAAATGGTTTGAGATTCAAATCCCAAATTGTGTGGCAGTCAAAGCTAATCAGCCACTAATTGCATATTCTATCCCCCATAGCCCCTAAATTCATCCACCTCTCTTTGCCTCCCACCTTCTCATGTTTGCTTCTACAGCAAGAATTCTCACAAGGAGGATTGAGGTTGTGTGACATAAGAATCCCTGTGGATTTTGCACCCTTACCCTGATGTACCAATTCATAATCTCTAAAGTTGGAATCCAGGAAACTCATTCTTAACAAGTATGCCCAAATGATTTGTAGATGAACTTGAAATCTCAAGAATCACTTTATTATGCCTTATCTTTTTATATCCATTGTATTAAAAAATCTAGCTGGAAAGGAAAGTTGTCAGATTCATCCTGAGAAAGCATTATTATTCAAAAAATGAAAAAGTAAAAAATAATACTAGTTTTGATCCTACATCAATTAGGTCATCAGAAAATTTTATGCTTTGGTTACAGAATTTAGGTTGTGCTATCTCATCTGGTCATCATTAGACACAGAAGTTTATTGACCACATGAAATGTAGTTAGTTATATTTAGACCTGCCGTAAATATAAAATACTCAGTGGATTTAGAAGATTTAGTACCCCCCAAATAAAATAGTTTTATATTGATCATATTGCAATGATGATATTTGCATATATTGGATTTAAAATATAGTATTTAAATTAATTTCACCTGTTTTTTTTTCCTTTTAAGGTGATAGAATTTTTCATTGAATATGTGATCACATACTATTTCCATTGGACAGTTCTGCTCTAGATCTTCCTGAAATGCTTGCATAGGATAGGATGCATTTTGCCTTTTGTTTTTATCAGTGCCCATAGAAGAAAGAATCCATCCTAGATTTATTTTTTTTTAGAGGGTACTAGAAATCGAACCTGGGGATGCTTTACCACCAAGCTATGTCACTATTCCCTCCCCAACCCCTTTTAATTTTGAGACAGTGTTGCTAAATTGCACAGTCTAGGCTGGCTGTCCTGCTTCAGCCTCCTTGGTAACTGAGATTACAGGTGTTTGTCACCCCATCTGGCTGGCCTTTGAATTTTTAATGGAACAACCAATAGAGGGCTTCATTTTTATTTTACAGAGATTTGTGAAATAAAGCCCTTTTAGGGCTCAGTGCTCACCTGCTCGCTGATCTGGCATGCCTCCTTTTATTATCTGTGAGACACAATGTACTCTTTTTGACTTGGCTGCCTGGATGCTCTGCTCTAGGTTCTCCAAATAGTTTCCTCTAGGCTTACATATTCTTACATAATTATCTTTTTCCTTCCCCCATACCCTAATTCCCTGCTCTCCTTGTTTATGGAATTTCATTGATTCCTTCTCTTTCCTCCTAAATGCACCTCTACTTCTTTGAGGAAGCGGGTGGGCTCCGAACAAAGCACGAGTACTGTGAATCAGCGAGATTGTTTTCTTTCTTACTGGAATTGGGAGCAGAGCAGCGGGAGAGCCAGGACTCCCTTTTTCAGCACCTCGTAAAGGCGGACAGTTCCAGGGCTCGTAGCCCAACTCACTTCAAGCACCCGTAACTAGTTTCAATCAGTTCAACAAATCAGTTTCAATCAGCTCACCCTCAGGATACCAGGTTCTGTACTGCGGGTGAAACAAGTCATGCCCAGGCCTTCCCGACTCACGCCCGTCCCAGCCAGCCGCCAAGCAAAAAGCCGTCGGAAGACGGCTCCTGAGGCGCCAAGATCCATTTTGTTTCATTATAGCGTTCAATCTGGCACCCACGGTAGCCGTCCCTGCAGCAATTCAGGGATCGGATTTCAGAGCAGAGGCAGGGATTTGGGGTCCAGCAAAGGGCAGTTGCAGCTACGCGAAGAAGCCTCTCCCAGCTGGGCTTCCCTCTGGGATCCCAAATTCCCTGAGATCTAGGGCTGCAGTCGGGCAAGGGTGTGTTACCCTTGCGCGGCTCTAAGTCTCCCGGGTCAGAGGCAGGGGCGGGAAGCGCGGGCCTGATTACCGGACGTCGAGACACTCTCGCAGCGCTTCTGGCGGCCAAGAGCGGGTGGCGGGCGGCCGGGGACCTGCGGGGCAGCAGGCTCTGGTCCCCCAGGTGGCAGGAACGGCATGTCGGCTAGGAGCAGGCAGGGCGCCCGAGCAGCAGCGGGTGGTTGTGCGCTGAAGCCACAGAGGAGGCCCAGCCCCAGTGGGAGAGCCCCGCGCGCTATGCAGGAGCCACCCAGCCCCGGATCGGGGCACGGAGTAGTCACTGGGCCCTCGCATCCTGATCCTGGCCCGGGACCGGCGGGTGCCGGCAGGTCGGCCTCCAAGCCCAGCAGATCGGTGATGGCGAAACCCCGGGAACGCGATCCGGTGGAGGAACCGCCCGGTACCAGCGCCCTACTCCCGGTGCGCCCATCCGAATGCGCGTCCCGTCCGGTCATAGCCTCTTAGCCTGCGAGGCGAGATCCTCTGTGGTTCACCTTTGCAGACGAGGCTCAGCTCAGAAGACGCTTTTTATACCTGGGCTGCCCGTCGGGCACGAAGGCCTGGAGGGCTCCAATCAGCGTCACCGTTTGGATCCTGCGAAGTGGGGACGCCTCCAGGTCCCCTCCCCTTAGTCGCCGCCCTCCCAGCCTCCCTACAGCAGTCCCCCAACCCACCCCACCTCCAATCCCGGGAGGAGGGAAAGGGAAAGAACAACGACTCTGTAGTGTCTGCCTATCCCTCTAAGAGCCGCAAGCTCCACATCCTAGTGTGGTCTTCTCCTTCTTTCCAGACTCTTCGGGGAAGAGGCTCCACTCCTGGCCGTCTTGAACCCTCCCCGACAGGACCAAATCGCACCTCGAGATCTAGGGTCTCATTCCCAACCACACCCCCACCGCTAAAACGACCACTTCCAGCCCTCCAACTTCACTGCCTGAGCACAGAAGACCTTCCCTGAAAATCCCCAAGAGGAAAAGAGTGGGAAACCTTTATCTAATCCATTGACACTCTACTTCCTGTCAAATTCTTACCCCACCCCTGCCTACTCTAATATCTAGGCTGTAGGGGGTCGCAAACTTACTGGATCTGGGGGCAAGAAGTAGAGGCCTGAATGGACTGAAGCGGGCTAAAATGATGGGGCATGTACTGGGTTTAACAAATAAAAATATTTGAGTCCCAGTGAAATTTGAATTTCAGTTAAGTAGTGAATATTGTTTTGGTAGTGTACCAGTATTTTATCAAACGGCCCTAAATTGGGGGGGGGGGTTGCAATAAAATAGAGTGCACACACTGGGACACACTCCTTCATGGAAACTAACAAATTATTGTCTGATTATATGATTCTCCAAAGTCACCATGATTTTCATGTTAAATTACCATATTGTTAAAATTGGCGCCAAAGCACGTGGGCAAGCCACTTTGGGCTCAGCTTTAGGCCCACACAACACTCATCTTTGGGAGCCCTGAGTTTACCCTTCTCCCAATCATAGAATCCAGAAACCTCAATGTCACTCGTGAAGGGCCAGACGGCCGAGGTCATTCAGCTAGTGAGGAGGAACTCCCAGAGCCCTGTGAGGATGCTACGCTGTTCGCTGCGTGCACGCGGGAGCCCACGCTCAGCAAGTGGGTCTCCCGCTCCTTGCGCGTTTGAGTGAGGCCTCTTCTAAACATACAGATTAAACAAGGGGCTTCCGATGAAGATAATTACAAGAGGCTGCGCATTAACTTTCCATTATTAAAGGAAGACCCAAATCTCCCCTTGCAAGCTGTTCCCGGGATTAGCAAAACAATAACTTTCGTTTGGGATAATTGTCTTTTGAATCGCTCCGGGTCGGGGGTGGCTTTGAGGGCGGCTTTAGACGCGGGCGTCCTTTTCGGCTCCACCAGGAATTTTCCCCCAATTTTATCTCTGGATTTAGGGGAAGGCGTTGAAGATACAGAACACTGCCAAGTGCTCCTGCTCTTCGACCAGCAGCGTGGTCATTTGTAAATGTGAATTTAAGGGTCGCAGTTAGGAAAGATACCTACCATTCCATGTATTAAATAGCCCTCCACCATGATGGGCAGGCAGGACAGGGTCACCGGCAAGGGAGAGTCTAAGAGGCTCCAGCTGATGCGCACGCCTCACCTGCAGTTCGAGGTGCAAACGCGACAACTTCACCTGGTCCACAGACTTGGGGCCTTCCTCTCCTAGCTTCTGCCTAGGGAGGCAGGAAGTCTCCAAGACGACAGACCCCAAGTTTTATGGTAAGGTATCCAGAAGTACCAAAAGGCGGGGGATGGGAGGGAGACCGAATCTTAGCCACTCCACATGGTGACTTCGACACAGTGCCCAAAACAGACCCTTTTCCAACCCTTTGTGAAAGATCTTACTAAACCCATTTTACGGATGAAAGAAAGTGACATTTCTATTAACCTGACAACATTGGACTCAGAGAAAGAAATGGGGAAGGGGAAGTAGAGCAAAGAGACCCAAGAAAAAAGAGTCCTACTTGGGGCTCTAAGGGAACTCGGAGACCATGAAGAGGCGTGTCTCCAGGGGATGTCCAGCAATTTCTGACAGTGGCATCCCCAATGGTAAAAACCACGACAGAAGCTCGTTGGACCCTGGGGCACTTTCCTGTCCCAACCTGGAGGCCACGGAACATCACACCAAAAAACTACTTCAGGACCTGCTCTCCACTGAGAAACGCCTCCCTTGCCCCGTCACTCTAACCTGCACCCCACCCTCAGCAGCCACAGAGGATCACGCCCTCTGACGGGGAAATCAGTTCTGTGTCAAGGGACCGGGTCGCAGCAGCAAGAAGGGGCGAAGTGCTTCGCTCAGCGTCCATCAAGATGGAGGAAGAGCTTATCTTGGCTTAGGAGTAGTGGACAAGAGAAAGCTAGCTGGTTCCCGAACCCACTCACTCTCCTCTAGTCCATCCTGGCGCCGGGGCAGATGCGGAGTCTTTGTGGCCGCCGGCCTTTGAAAGAGGGCTCCATGCCCTGGCAGGCTGGAGTGTGGGCTTCTCCCACCATATGCAAATCTTCAGCCGGAGGCATGGCGCTCGAGAGTGTCCCCGCCCCATCCCCGCCCCGGGATACCCCCGGAGTCATTTTGGAACCCTAAATCCGTTAAGGGGTCCGGATCTGCCTTCATCAGCCAGGATTATCCGGGATTTAACTAATCAGTAAAGATTTCTCCTCTCATTATTTTTCAGGGAAGCTTTCCAGCCCCTCTCTGCTTCATTTCACTTCCCAGACCACGCGATCTTCAGCTTGCCCAACCAGGATGACCACAGTGACTTGGCTCTTCACTGTGCCAAGCTGAGACTGGAGCAACAGATACCTCTCTTGGGCCTTTCAGAGCCACTGCTATACGCAAATACAATAGAAGTGGGATGCACAGCATGGATACGAGTGTCACAAATCATTCTCATGGCTCTGGCTCTGTTCTTAGATTTCCTCCCACTTTCTCCCTCCCCCTCACCACATCACCACCGGGAATTAAACCCAGGGGAACCTCATCACTGAGCTACTTCCCCAGAACACTCCCCTCCCTTTTAAAAATTTAAGACAGGGTCTCCCTAAATTGCCCAGGCTGGTCTCAAACCTGTCATCCTCCTGCCTCAGTCTCTGGAGCAGCTGGGATTACAGGTGAATGACACCCTCCTCCCACCTCTTTGGCTGTTCCTTCTTGGTTGTTTTTGTGCCCCACTTTAAAGGGGACCCTGTTTTGCCCTATCCACATCTCCTGCCCTGACCACCTTGCCTGAACCCAACCTCCAGCACCCACACCTGCACATTTTTCTTTGGGGTTTTTCTCTGCGTCAATTTTGCCCACTAGCCAAAGGTGCCAAGAACTAATATGTCCTGAAAAGTTCTAGACCACAAACTAACAGGTGTTGAATTATAAATACCCTGCCCCTCCCTAGTCTGGGATGCATTCTACTCCATCTCCCAGCAATCCCCAGCAGGAATGAACCTGTTTCCCTGCTAATGATCACATTGCACATTGCTTCCTTCTTCAGTGCTGTTGGTGCCCCACCTAGACCCCTTTCCTGGACTCTTGCACCTACCCCTATCAGCTAAGTACAGGCTGCTAACAGGTCACCAGGCTCCCTCATCAGGAGAATCCTTTGCTGCACAAAGGTCCCTTACCCCAGAACACACACCTGAACAGCCAGCATGACTGCAGAATCATTTCTGCTGCAAAACCCTCCCCATTATGGATCAGGTCAGTTGCATGCTTTCTGAGCTCCTTTCACTCCCTCCCTGGGTTCCCTCACTCCTGAGAGTGCCACCTAAAGACATTTTCTCCAGCTTTCCTTCTAAGGACCCCAACCTCAGATGCTTTCCTTTTCCATCTTGCTTCCTTACTGAAAGTAACCTTCAGATACCCGATCTCTTCTATAATGCGTGGCTCAGAGTCTCCCTGGGCACCTCTCTCCCTTACCATTAAGCACCCATAGCACAGTCACTGTCTCCCTGCCAAGAATTTTTAAATCTGTCTTCAGCCTGGGACTTGCTCCTGAAGCCAGGCCCCATTTCACAAGGCCCCAGAATTTCCTGGGAGCACAGAAACACAACCCACCCAGAGCTGAAGTCAGCATTTTCCTTTGCAGCCTGTACCTCCTCAATTCTTCTTCACTTCTCTACCCAGGGGTCCAGAAAAACCCTGAGCATAGTCCTCGATTCCCCACTATCCCCATCTTGCTCACCTCCAATTTTGGACGGTAATGAGGATAACTGACCCCTCTTGGCTTCTTACAATGGGCATTTTTTATTGATTTTTTTTAAATAAATGACAAAGGAATGCATTACAATTCTTATTACATGTATGCAGCACAATTTTTCATGTCACAATGAGCATTTATTATAAATACCTTGTCAGGATAATCATATTTTATCCTGTTCACAACTCATTGGGTAGATAATATCATTGTCCACATTTTTCACATGAAGAAACAAAGATTTCTATCAGTCAAATAATTATTGAAATTACCTGAGGTCACTGCAAGCCAAGATTTGAACCCAAACAGTGTGAATTGACAGCTTGACTCTGGGATAGCCTGTGTTCCTTAATTATCTACTCTCCCTGCCCATTGCCACACCTTGGATCAAGCCAATCTCTTACTTGTGGAGATTTTTGTATGTGTGTTTGGTGCTGGGGACTAAACCCAGATAAGTGCACAATCTACCACTGAAATCCCGCCACCAAATAAATTTCTTTCCTTTTCTTTCAGTGCTAGGGATTGAGTCCAGGGCCTCATGTATTCTAGGCAAGCACCCTACCATTGAGGTACATGCCCAGGCCACAATTCAAAGTTCTTACCTGGGACCTTGACCCAGGCACTGAAGGCAAGGGAATGTTTTCCACAGCAGCTTCAGGGGACTGTCCAGTGATTCCATTTCACACCACACTGTTCCCTGGCATGATTTGACCTTATGCACAGATGCCCAGCCTGATGCAGCTCTGCACCTTTTCTCCAACCTTCCATCAACCTGGAAAAGTAAAATGATACCATGCAGTAATCTTCTTTTCTGCATAAATTTGCTAGCCTTTCTCCCTGTGGTTTGTGTCCAAGAAACCTCTCTATCGTCTACAGATCAGGCTCCATCCTCTGTTGTCTCCTCCCATCTTTTCCAGCCCTTTCCTTGCAGCCCCACGACTCCAATCTCTGTTCCACCACCTGTGATCTTTGTGAGATCATGCCCTATTATTGCTCTTAACTTTAAATTCCTCACCATCTCCCCATCATCACCCACACAGTACTAATTTATGACCCTTTTCTTCCAGTGACTGAAGAGGCAATTGCTTCACAGGCTTGGTTCATCAAGTGGGCAATCAAGAGTCCACAAACCAGTATGTCATAAAACTCACCCCAAACTGCAGTCGGTGCTGGGATCAGGGATCATGAATCTATTTATCATGTCCACAAGAGCAACAGTCTCTGAACCCTTCCTTGACTGAATGTTCTGACTACTATTTCAACTTAGCAAATTATCCCAAAACTTAGCCACTATCATGGTCAAATGGCTTTGATCTCCAGCACCACAAAATACAAAAACAAAAACAACAATCTTAGCCACTGAAAAAAAAACCATTTTTATTTTAGTCATGGTTTGGGGGCCAGAAATTTGGGGATTATATTATTCTCACTTGAAACTCCACACATGGTTGCCTTTGGGACTGCAGTCACCCAAGAGTTCAACCAGGCTGAACGCCAAGGTGGCTTGATTACTGGCTATAGCTGATGGGCCTTGTGGGGTCTCAAGGGAAATGGGAACCTCCCAAGAGAGTAGGCGCATGATGCATGGGCTTAGCAGGCTCACTCAGGAGCCAGAGCATCATTTCCAACATACTCCATAGGTAGAGCCATATCATGACTTTTGGGGGGTCTTAGGTATATTCACCTTCCTGAGTCCCTTCTTCCATAAAATATATTAACTTATATTGCAAGACTATGTTGGTAAAATGCAAAATATAATCAAGTCCAGATTGATGACTATATGTTCATTATTATCAATTCGTCTTTCCTATTGACTTTAAGAGAAATTAAAATATATTCATTGGCCTTAAAAATATGGTCCCTGGGCACTGTGCTTACTGGATAAGTTGACCTTGTTGACTGGTCTAAGCAGCCACAAACCCACCCAGATACAAGGACAAGACATAAATCCCACCTCTTCACAACAGAAGTATATACTTCAAGGCCACCACACAATATCTGTAGGGCCAGTAGCTGAGCAGAAATTCTCCCTGCCACACAGACCCATTTCAAATGGCTCCTCAACATGAGTCCCTCTCAGATTTTCCTGCCTGGATAGAAAGACACTTTTCCAAACTCTTGTAGCTCTTGATATTCCCTATGCCATCTCATATTGCACTCATCACCCAGGGGCTTCAGTTGCCCTGAAAAAAGTCTTCCTCGTCATCACATCCCTCTTCCAAAGCAGTGGTTCTCCAAGTATGGTTCCTGGCTACATCAGCATCACCTGGGAACTGGCTGGAAAAAGAAACTATGGACCCTCCAAAATTAGAGATCCTGGGGGTGAGCTGGGCATCAGCATGTTTACAAGACCCCAGGGACTCTAATGCCCACCCAAGTTCAAGAACCAAGGTTTTCTATTAATGCTACATGAACCGTGTGTACTCATTTGTTTAACAAATATGTCCTGGCACAAAAACATCTGGTTGTTCCCAAATGCTCTGAGGAACTATGAAGACCACTTAAGTGCAGTGTTAGGACAACAGTTATCAACCAGACAGGAGCTTAGAGAACTAGCAAATCAGGGCATCAAAAAATAATGGAAAAAAGAAAAAAATGTAATGTTATCTTCCAAAACATATAACATTGATAAAATTAATACCTACCAGTGGAGCACTCACTCACTCTGTGCCAGGCCCTGTACTACATAATTTATAGGCATCAATTTGTTTACTATTTCTGACAATCCTAATGAGATTATATTATTATTATTGTTGTTGTTGTTATTATTATTATTATTATCTGGTACTGGGTATTAAACCCAGGGGTTCTTTATCACTAAGCTACACTCCCAATCCTTTCTCTTCTGTTTTTTTGGGACAGAGTCTCATTAAGTTGCTGAGGCTGGCTTTGCATTTACAATCCTCCTGCCTCAGCCTCCCCAGTGTTTGGGATTACAGGCATGTGCCACCACACCAAGCTCACATGAGGTTCTATTATTATCCACATTTTGTGGATGAAAAAACTGAAGTGTGGAGCTATAATTAGCTCAGCAGTAAGTGAAGAGATCAGGGTTCCATCCTGACCATCAGACTTAGAACAGTAAAACATGAGGAGGGAATGAAAATGCTGGGGAGTTCCTTATACTTAGTATTATTTTTATTCTTTATTTATTTAGGCACTGGGGATCAAACCCAGAAGCACTTTACCATTGAACTACATCCCCTATCCTATTTATTTTTTACTTTGAAACAAGGTCTTGTGTAAATTGCTGAGGCTGGCCTCTAACTTGAAATTCTCCTGCCTCAGCCTCCTGGAGTCTCTGAGATCACAGGCATGTGCCATCACACCTGTATTCTTATTTTTTAAACGTGTGAGGTCTTTAAAAGTCTTACTTTTTACACTACTACAATTGCTGTCAACTGATGGCATTATGGGCTGTGGGCAGATTTCTAGGAGAAACTCATGAGCTCTGTGACCTGTGACTGATCTTTTTTTTTTTTTTTTTTAGGCCCTGAGATAACAGGGAAGTTCTAGGTAGGAATCCAGGAAACACACCGATTTCCTCCCTTCTTTTCCTGGTACCTGTCTTCTCCTTCCTCGCCCCTGCCCTCCTCTTCTTCAGCTCCTCCCTCACCTCTAAAAAGAGCTCATGGCCACCCTCTTTGTTAAGTCCCATCTGTGAATCTAACGAACCCCAGGACCAAGCCAAACTAAGAAGAGGACACAATGACCAGAACTTGCCCTAGGACCTCCAGGGCACAGAATATCATGAGCACAGACCACAAAAAGGTCTGCAAATGTCAGGCATGGTGAGACATGCCTGGAATACCTGCTACTCAATAGGCTGAAGCAGGAGAATCACATATTTGAGACCAGCCCGGGCAAATTAGCAAGAACCTGCCTCAAAATAAAATAAAATAAAAAGGTGGGGATTTAGCTCAGTGATAAAGTGCTTTGCCTGGCATGTGCGAATGCCCGGGTTTGATCCCAGCACTGCTGTGATCAGTGAAGGAGTAGGAAAGGAGAAGTCAGAGAAGGAGAGGATTTAACTGTGAAGATACGCCCACTGCGGACGCTGGCTGCCGTGTGCCTCTAAGCCATCCTTTCTGAGCATGGTAGAGATGCTTCTACTCAAAGTTTAGGTACATAGATAGAGGAAATGGCAAATGCTGAGACATTTTATTCCTTCAACTACAATTCTAGTTGAGTCTTTCATCTGCCCCAAGGAGTGGTTTATGTTCTTGGTAAGTGCTTAAGGAAACTTTCATCACATACTCCTTGGATTTCTGGAGCTCCTGTCTTTCATTTGTTCTAAAAAATTATCAGATTTTTTTTTGGGGGGGGGTTTTGCTGCGCCCCCTTTTTTTCTATTCTCTCCTTATTGTACTTGTTATTTTTAGATTAGACTTTCTTATCCCATTCTACATGCTCTTAAACCTTTTTCATTTTTTTTTTAAATCTCTTTGTGAGGATTGGGGTTGTAGCTCAGTGGTAGAGTGCTCACCTAGCATGTGTGAGGCACTTGGTTTGATTCTCAGCACCACATAAAAATAAAATAAAGGTCCATCAAAAAAAAATCTCTTTGTGAAAAAAAAAAATCTCTTTGTGTAGCAGGTCTAATGTGACTTCCCCAATTCTCTCTTAAATAGTGCCTAATCTGCTTTCAAAACTATCTATGATGTTTTTAAATTCAGTGGCTATATTTTTCATTTCTGTCTGATTTTAAAACACCCATTTTAGGATAGACATCAGTCAATTTTTGCTATCAGAATTTGATGTGGAGGTCAAATGCTACTGTTTAGGTTTCTGCTGATTCCTGCTCACAGTAGTTTTTCCTGGGCTCTGTTGTAATCAAGGATTACCTCATGTTCCATCAGACTTTATCTGTGGTCATGTTATATAGGTTCTTCTGAGCTCTGATCCTACATTTGTGTTTACTTCTAGATCCTCCATTTATGTTTATCAGTCAGGAACCACTTTTTTTTCTTTTTTCTTTTTGTTTTTGGAGGATGGAATGGGGTGGGGGTTGGGGAGGAGTCAAAACCCAGGATTAGGGATCACTTGTTAATTTTTGACATGGGGTTCCTATGCCAATCCATTGGTATAAACTAGAACCCCAGGCTCACATGTTGGCAAGCTTGTCACTCCTGAATTTCGAGGTCTTATTGTGCTCAGGTTGCCCTAACAAAATACCTTAGACTGGGTAATTTATAATTAATATAAATTTATTTCTCATGGTTCTGGAGTCTGGGAAGTCTGACATCAAGATCCAAGATCAGATTCAGTGTCTGGTGAAATCTTGCTCTCTGCTTCATGAATGTCACTCTGGTTGCATCCTCACATGGCAAAAGGAACAAGACAGCTCTCTTCAATCTTTTTCTCTCTCACTTTATTTCTTTCCCCCCACTCCTTTCTTTCTTTCTCTCTTTCTTTCTTCTTGGGGCTAGGGATTGAATCCAGGGCCTCATACATGCTAAGTGCACGCTCTACCACTGAGCCACACCCACAGACCTTCAAACTCTTTTATAAAGGAACTAATTCCATTTATGAAGATAAAACTGTCATGGCTTAATCACTTTCCCAAAGACCCCACTTCTTAATACTATTACATTGGGTATTAGGTTCCAACATGTGTTTCGAGGGAACATCAACATTCAGACCATAGACTTGAAGAAGGTTGTTTCAATCTAGAGCCAAGTCCAAGATAAATAATCCCTCTGTGGCCTCCATGGTCTTTCTCATAGGGTGGGATTTTCAAGAGTATCAACATTGTGTGTGTGGGTGGGGTGCTGGGAATTGAACCCAGGAGTACTCTATTGCTGAGCTTCATCCCCCTTTTAGTTTTGAGACA